TATTTAAGGTTCCATAAGTGGATGGGCCCAAAATGTAACTAGAATCATGCAGAATCAGAACTTTAAATATCTGGGAAGTGTTCTGACAGAGGACAGTAAATGTGACACTGACATATTATGATGGCCAAGGATGCATTCCAAAGGCTGGGCAGAGACAGGATTATTTCTTTGGTAACAAAGAAAAGAATACTGAACTGTTACGTGACATCTGTCCTTCTTTACAGCAGCAAATGTTGCATGATTTCCTCAAAAATGAAGAAGAGACTCGAGGCAACAGAGATGTGGTTCTAACAGAAGGATGTTAAGGATATCATGGAACAAGCATGTGAGCAATGATGATGTCTTAGAGAGGTTGCAAACAAGGAGAAGGCTTATACTTAATATCAGGAAGAGGCAGCTGAAGTATCTGGGATGCATAATAAAAAAAGGAGGGCCTGGAAAATCTGATCCTCACAGGTCGAATAGAGGGAAAGAGACAAGGGAAAGCAAGTGGATGACATACCTGATGAGCTTAAGCAAGTGGATGACAGAACATGGTCTGGGGGAGGAAGCAGAGGGAAGGAACTTGCTGAGGGCTGTAAGGATAGAGGATGAGGTGGAGAGCCATGATCGCCTATGTCCTGAAAGGACATGGCACATAAAAAGAAAGAAAGAAAGAAGGCCTGAAGAATCTGATACTCACGGGTCGAATAGAGGGAAAGAGAGACAAAGGAAAAGAACACATGACATACCTGGCGGACTTAAGCAAGGAGAGCTGCTAGGGATAGAGGGAGGTGGAGAGCCATGATCGCCTACGTCCTGAAAGGACATGGGGCATAAAAAGAAAGAAATATTTAGAGTTTCTGCCATTCATATGGAGGATTTAAAAAATATCCTCTAAAGATATGATAAAGTATTGTAAATGGTTGACTGCCACAGCTGCTGCTATTGGTAAGATAAGTTTTAGGATTCCTTCTTCCAATTAGATACAGATTTTAAATGACAGGAAATCTGCTTCTGTTATCACAGAAATTCAGTAGGGAGGATATTTGGGTGAGTTTACCCAAACTGCTCATCTTTCAAAAGATGACAGAAGATAAACAAAAAAAAAAAAAAATCACTCGGGGAGAATCAAAGAAATGCCTGAGAGTTCCTGCAGCTGACCATTCTAACAGCAAACAAGAAAAAAGATGTAAGATAAGCTGTCTAAGTAAATGGTTGGCCACACCTACTGAAGGAAGCATGATTCAAGAAGAAAGCAAAGAAAATGATGATAGAATTTTGAACCAAGTGCAGAATCTGTAAAGGAATTTTTTTTAGCATCTGTACAAATATATGAAAAAACAAAACTTTAAACTGGTCAAAAAAATCATAAAATGAAAAAACTAAATATTGTGCCAGCCAGTCAAAAGTTTTGGTAAAAATATAAATGATGATCATTTGCATATTTCACACACACACACACACACACATATATATATATATATATATATATATATATATATATATATATATATATATATTTACACACACACACACACACATATATATATATATATTTAGTTTATGAAAAACTAGGTAATCCGTATGGGTAGACCCAAGGATGATAAAATCCAGAGAGCTCAATGTAAATCCAGAGCAAATAATTTAAATAAAAACAGAGCACTTTAAGGTTCCATGTAATAAATTATTTCACTACAGCTAAAAAGAATTTAGGGGTAAATTTCTTTTCATTTTTCGTTTCAACCTCTGGAAGTAAAGTCTGATGATCCGCAGTCCTTTAAAAAGGCTGTGGTGAAATAATTTATTAGATGGAACCTTAAAGTGGTCTGTTTTTATTTAAAAAATAAATATATATAAAGACATTTTTATGTTTATACATTCTTTTTATAGATACAAATATTTAAGTAAAAGATCTGTTTATAATAAACAGTACTAAACAACATTTACTGGCCTGAATGTCCAAGAAATTTTCACAGAAAATATTTGTCCTCTGACGCTAAACACACATGTCAGGCCTAATAATTTCATTTGGCATGAAACAGGCTGTCACCTCTGGATGTTGACTTTAATGTTTACTCTCTCTCTCTATTTATGTATACATATATATATACATCTATCTATCTATCTATCTATCTATCTATATATATATATATATATATATATATATATATATAAAAAAGAAAAGAAGAGTAGGATATATAATCTGATGTTCTTATTAATATTTTTATTTTTACAAAACAGTGCTCAATGCAAATATACAAATTATAAATAAATATTATAAATTTACTAATTTAAAAATATTGCTACACAGGAATTACCATGTTTCAAAAACAGAAGATAAAAACTTCAAATTCAGTTATAGAATTAAATTAAAGTCCCTATTCAAAATATGAGTTTCTTTTGATCAATAGTTGTCAGTTAGAACCAGTGACAGGACCCAAAAGAGTGTGAGTTCAATACCTGGTTAAGGCAGTGGAGAACTTTTAGAGGGGAATTAATACGAGATAACTGATAACTGATATCCATTAAACATGGCATGTGGAACTTGAACAGTCTACCCCAGTGAGCGAAATAAAGGGTTCACTTCGACATTCCAACCACCTGAAGAAGGCTGGAGCGTACAACAGCCGAAACATTGTAATAAATATGGCGACAAAGATGAGGACAATAGTCCGAATAATGTAAATAATATAATAATTTCCCTCATTGTTCCTTATTTAATCTTAACTATGTATTTTAAACGTCATTTTAGGCTGCAATCCTTAAACATGTTCTAATAAATAGAATGGGGCTGGGATGTTTTTTAATGAGTTTTGGCCTGGTGTTAAACAAGTGAATTGAGGTCAGGAAATAACTTGTAAAGGAACTTGCTGAAATTGTGTAGAATATTCTGAATATTTTTAACCATTATTAATCAAATGACTTATTTGATTCTATGGGGAAAATAACAAAAGGCTCAATATATATTCTATTTAATAAAACACACAGGGTTTATTTCTTGCTATCCGCTTTCTATATAAATTTTTGCTTTTCAATATTGAGCAGATTGTGCAATTTTCCTCGTAAAATATCGTAAATTTTTTAACAAAATGTATATACGAGGTTTAGCCAAAATGTCCATAGACTGACAAAACTATAAATGGAAGCAAACACACAACTAAAAGAAATGCGAGTGTACCAGAATACAGCAGCTGGTCATCCGGAGAAAAAAATATGACATATATTAGCTGGTCAGCCAGCTGTTGCATTCTTGTACTGTAAAATGTCATCTAATCTACCAACTTGTGTGTATCTGCTTACACTTATATCTTGGTCAACCTATAAATTATTCAGCTGACACTTCGCACACACACACACACACACACACACACACACACACACACACACACACACACACACATAAAGTCTATATATATATATATATATATTTATTCAAATTTATAATATATGGATGTTATATCATCACTACGATATTTTAAATTTTGTTTCAACACTTCTGGTGTCTTGTCAAGTGATGATGTTGAATGGATTTTCCATTCAACGTCATCACTTTACAAGATATTATATAATATTATTAGCTGTACTCAGTATTAAGCACTATCTTAAGAATAGTGTTTTTGGTTATTAGAATTTTATTCCATTGGATACCAACCTTGTACTTATATATATATATATAAAATATATATATATATACATATATATATTTTTTTATATGGATGTGTATGCATCTATGTATATATTTTGCATATGAATTATATGTGTATGCATCTATGTACATATATTTATATATTTTGTATATATATGTGTATATTTACCTCTAATATATATATATATATATATATATATATATATATATATATATATATATATATATATATATATATATCCAAGTAAGATGAGAACGATTAGAGTAAAATTCCAACATTGGTAACATTTAATTTAAAAGAGGGCTAAATACAAAGTAGACCAAAATTATTTATTTTTCAGATATTACATTGAAAACATGTCAAAATCGCTACACAATTGCAGATCTGTTTTGATGCGCATCAAATGCATCTCATTAGGTGATAGTAAATTACTGTACTCGCCAGTAATTTACAATTGCTTGATGAGATGCATTTGATATGCATTGAAGCAGCAATTTTGATATGTTTTCAATGTAATATCCCAAAATAAATAATATATATATGTTTGTTTGTGTGTGTGTGTGTGTGTGTGTGTATGTATGTATTTACTGCTTTGATTGATTGTTTTATATGGCTTATCAACTCTGTGTGGGTCATTTAAAGTTGAAACATATTTTGAGTTATAATTCTTATTTGCAAATGAATATTGCATTAAAAACTGTAAATGATTTGTTCAGATTCAAGTCCTACTTTTTAACCCATATATTATGTATTCATAGCTTTTTCCTAAGGTATAGGCACATAAGTGAATTTAACTTGACTTGAATTCGAACTTGGATCTCTAATTTCTCATTCTGAGCCACTATCCATTGCACCACCTGCACGTCTTGTATATGTACTGCAAAAAAATTAAACATTTTTTCTGGTGTTTTTTAAAATGTTCACGTCTTTTTAAAGAATCTTTAAACAATATCGTAATGAAATTGATACATCAGTAGTAATATTGATTTTAGCAGAAGTAGTTGCCTGCAACACTCAAACACATTAGAGTCAATTTTCCGTTAAATATCTCTGTAGTAACCATTTCCTCTTTTTCTGTCTTCTTTCTTCTTCTTTTATATGAGAATGTCCTTTCCATTTATAGGTGATTATGTCTCTCAAGAACTTTCTGTCATTCTCAGTAAATTTTGCCCTCTTTACCATCAACTCTTGTCCTTGGCCTAACGTCCTTTCAGAGAAACTCATTAAATAGGTTACTTGATCTTTTGCTCTGGCTTCTCTTGCCTGCAGTATGTCCAGGCCCTCTTTCCTCATTATCTAGCCCAGAAATTTATATATATATATATATATATATATATATATATGTGAAGAAATATAGTCTTAAGATGTGCTATATTTATGGGATAAAGTGCTCAATATCAGAGATAGAGCGTGTGTAAATGTAAAAGTGAACATAGAAGTCAACACTTAGAGGCGACGGTCTGTTTCATGCTAAATGCAATCGTCAGGCCTGATTGTCGACTCTAAGTGTTGACTTCTATGTTCACTTTTATATTTACATATATATATACATATATATATATATATATTCATGAATTATTCACACAAAAAAAACAAAAGCAAAGGTTAATGATTTAATTGGTGAGAAATCCATCATCGCAAACAATTCAAATAATATACAAAAACCTCCGAATCCGTTATGAATGAATTGATCCTTGTTTCCATAAATTTCTGCCATATTAGTTCTTATTTTTACTACAAGCCTTCGTCTGTTCCTACAGACATCTTCAGGTATAGAATAGATGTTGTTCTTGTTTTTTCTCTTAGTAATAAGAGGACAACGAAAATATATGTATTGTTGTATCCGAAAATGCTATTGAAAATGAGTTGTTGTTTTTGGAGCGCGCAGTAGCAACGCTGAGTTTGATTTTAAATTTTAAAGGTTGTGCGTTCATATAAATATGGTGATGAACAAATTTTTTACTGGTAAATTTTCTGTCAAAGTGGCATGAACTATATTGTTCAATAATTACAGTAATGTCGCACTTATTATCCAAAAGCCGCACTTGGATCAGTTATTTAAATTAGGATAAACGTGCAATCAATTTACAAATTCATGAATTATTCACACAAAAACAAAAGCAAAGGTTAATGATTTAATTGGCGAGACATCCATCATCGCAAACAATTCAAATAATATACAAAAACCTCCGAATCTGTTATGAATGAAATGATCCTTGTTTCCATAAATTCATTTTCGGATACAACAATACATATATTTTCGTTGTCCTCTTATTACTAAGAGAAAAAACAAGAACAACATCTATTTTATACCTGAAGATGTCTGTAGGAACAGACAAAAGCTTGTAGTAAAAATAAGAACTAATACGGCAGAAATTTATGGAAACAAGGATCAATTCATTCTTAACGGATTCGGAGGTTTTTGTATATTATTTGAATTGTTTGCGATGATGGATTTCTCGCCAATTAAATCATTAACCTTTGCTTTTGTTTTTGTGTGAATAATTCATGAATTTGTAAATTGATTGCACGTTTATATATATATATATATATATATATATATATATATATATATATATATATATATATATATATATATATATATATATATATATATATATATATATATATAGTGTTTATCCATACATGTTTTGTGTCTAACATTGTTCACAGATACTAAAATGATGGCAAAAGTTAAGAAAATGAGCCATGTGAGAAATGAGGAAGTTTCAAACAAAATATAAAGTACAAAATAAATGTTGTTAACAAAGTACAAAATAAATGTTGACAACAAATTGAAAGGGACAGTTGAAATGTGAGGGAGGGGCACAAAATGAGAACTGAAGGCGATTTGAAAATTTCAACATTCACAAGACATACAGAAAAGTAAAGGATGGAGGAATGAGTATCACAATGGATGGAGGAATGAGTTTCCCAATGGATGGAGGAATGGGTAAAATAATGCAAGGAAGAATGAATACCACAAGAGATTGAGGAAGTGAGTACCAGAGTGGATGAAAGAATGAGTACTGTAATCGAAGAAGGACTGAGTACCACAATGAATGGAGGAATAAATACCTCAAATGGATGGGGGAATGTGTACCATAAAGGATGTAGGAATAATTACTACAATGGATAGAGGAATGAGTACTACAGTGGATGGAGGAATGAGTACGACAATGGATGTAGGAATGAGTACTACAATGGATGGAGGGATGAGTACTGTAATGGATGGAGGAATGAGTACGACAATGGATGGAGGAATGAGTACGACAATGGATGGAGGAATGAGTACTGTAATGGATAGAGGAATGAGTACGACAATGGATGGAGGAATAGCACATAGAAAGAGAAATATGAAGGCTTTCTTTTGGGGGGAAAAATCAGGAAGAAAATGATTATCAATGGTCAGAAACAAAGCCAAGAATTTCTGACAAACAGAATAGAGGTATTATATCATAAGGAACCAAAATCATTGTTTTTTTATGGTTCCATGATTAATTAACTTTAAAATCTAAATATCATTTGTATATAAAGGAAGAAATTAAAAAAACAAATATGAGATATTCAATTGTTGACCCCAGAAGTTTAACTTGTTAATATTTGGAGTTTTATTAAGCTCATGTTCTGAATGCTGACTAATTAAAATTAATGTAAACTGTAATACCAAATATTTAACAGTATTACTGTTAGTGCTCCCCCAGTTGTCCATACTCCAAGTTCTTAGGCAATTTAAAATAAAACAAATAACTTCCATAATTTTACCTTTGATTTTTCTTTCATTTCTAATTTAACTGAGGATGTCTTGGCATCAGTGCAGTTTCCAAGACTACATCAGGTTTGTTCTAGATCTCAAAATGAATGCAATGAAAAAATAAAGGATTTAAATACAGATGAAGATGAGAAGAAAATGAACTGCATGATGGGAACAAAGAAGACAAGAAAATGAAGAGAAAGCTTCAAAACCAAAAAAAATGCTTCTTTTGAAGACCTTTCTCCTGTCAAAAGAACAGGCAGAATATTAAAACATTAAAAATATTACTTCCTTTGATTATAGAGGCAATAAAACAAAACATTTTGCATTGTGTTTCTTATGCAAATATTCAACGTTTGGCTAATTACTTTGAATGAAGTTTGTATGATTAAATAAATTCTTTGGCTTCAGCTTTTATTTCCATTTGCAATGAAAAGCGGCAGTTTGTTGTCAAGTAGAAATTGTTTTTGCTTCTGTTGCCCTGGAAATAAAAGTAAGAATTATCCAAGATGGCAGGTTATCCAAGATAGTAACCATTCCTTCGTATCTGACTGAAGGACTTAGCATCTGTATTTAAGGGCATGTTGATATGTACACATAGTTTTTAAATATCTGCCATTTTGATTATTTCAAGAAATAGATTTGACAGAACTTGACAAAGGAGCTTACTGAACATGTAAGAATGGAGGCTCTCGAATAGAAATCAGCAGTGAAACAGCAGTGAGAATGAACTTGCATATTGCGTACTTATTAAAATCACTATGAATATGCAGCAGTTTTTACTTGAAAGTTGGACATTTGTACATAAGAAATATTAAAAGAATTTAGAAGGTTTTCAGATATGATTCAGTAAGTGATGCACAGATAAATGTTCTGTGCCAATGCTTCAAATTTGGTTTGAAATCTGTTGAAAACACATGTTCCTGAAGATCTTCAACAAGCAGAATGTCTAAAAATACTAGACAAGTGTTAATGGCAATCAATTGAAATTGGCCGTTGAGAGTATGTGAATCAGTAGAAGAATTTCCCTGACTATCCAGAAGGTAGTTTGTCATTTCAAATAGCTTGGCTATTCCGTGCCTGTGACATCTGGCTTTTTCCAAAGTTAGACGCTGTTAAAAAAGAGATTTCAAATTGTGGAAGAAATTAACCTGTTCACTATCAAGTAAAAATTACCTTCACAGTCTTATTATTTGTCTAAAGAAGTCACACTGTCTTAGCCAAAACAACAAGAGTCTTCAGCTATGTTCAATAAAGGTGCATTAAGCCAAACTAGACTTTGTGTTTTCATTACAATTTATTGAATGTAACTATGGACAAATACCTTAAACCCAAACATTTCAACTTGGACTTGGCAGGCCTGTCTTCTACTGATGCCTGGCAATATTGGAAGTGATTATTCAAAGGATTCTTGCTTTCACTGGAAAAAAGTTCATCCAATCCTAATACTGATATGGATAGATTTAACCAGCTAATGGACCATGTTTCCACATCCGTATATACCAATATTTCTCACTTCAAAATTTACCAGAGTACCATGGACGTTTTGGATGGAATTTTTGTGAAGCAACAAAACATAATCTTTGCCCAGCATGTATTAACAACTACATGCCAATCCACTGAAGAAGGTTTAGAACAGTAACTTCAGCACTTAAATAGTTGATACTGTGACTTTGAAGTGACAACAGCAGATCAGGCAAAGGACAAATTTATGTGAGACCCCTTTATAAATGGATGAGAACTGAACTATATTCGTCAAAGATTGATGTAAAATAAACAACTAGATTTAGCTACTGCTTGCTTAGAGATGGCAGAAAAGTAATTTTGTTCATACCGACAAATAAGTGTTGCAGAGGCTTCACTAAATACTCACACTCCTATTAGTCCACCAGTCAAATGACCCAAATAGGAAAAAAAGTTAATCCTCTATGACAGACTTCCACGTATCTGCATCCCACTCTGCCAGTTCGAAATCTTCTCTCTACGGAAGACACTGCACACACTGCTAGAGCTGCAGTCAGACTAAAATGTTATTTTTGTGGTCTCAAACTACACCCTCAGTTGTGTTGCCTAGCCAAGGAAGCTAAATGCCACAAGTGCAGGAAGAAGGGAAATTTCTCTAAGATTTGTCGATCAAGGTTTTTTTTTGTCTGGTTTGAATGCTCCTATTGCAACTAGTATCGTATCAACTGTTAACCCAAAATGTCTTGCAAAGGCTATATTAACAGTAAAAATAAATGGAGGAGAAATGAATGCTCTAGTCAACACTTGAGGCTCAGAGAGTTTTGCCAGCACTCATATTGCAAAAAGAAACAGATTTAAAATAGTATGATGTAGTATTCAGGTGACTATGGTGAACGCTTCAATATCTTTGCAGGTTAAAGGACACATTTTGGCCAGCCTAGAATTGTATCAAACTAACTGCACTAACACCAATGTTTTCATTGTAACAAATCTGTTCTACGATGCCACACTAGGCCACAATTTCCTCAAACAGCATAAAATGTATACAGATACAAATTTGATGTATATAGACACATATATAATGTATACAAACACACATGGAATGTATACGGACACACATAGACTGTATATAGACACACATAGAATGTATGTAGACACATATAGAGTGTATAGACACACATAGAATGTATACAAACACACATAGAATGTATATGGACACACATAGTGTGTATACAAACACTTATAGAATGTGTATAGACACACATAGAATGTATACAAACACACAAAGAATGTATGTAGACACACATAGAATGTATGTAGACACACATGGAATGTATACAAACACACATGGAGTGTATACAAACACACATAGGATATGTATAGACATACAAAGAATGTATCCTGAGACAAATATAATAATGCTATTCTGTCATTAAGAAATGTTTCCTTTTCACTAACAAGGACGTTCACTTTGTGACACCAAAATCTGAATGTGCATTAGAGTAGCAAAAGATGCCTTTCAAAAGCTAAGCAAAATATTAAGAATCAGAAAAATTCAAATAGAAATAGGAAAAAAGTGCTGAACTGTTATGTAATATCAGTCCTTCTATATAAGAGTGAATTCTGGAAAATCTCCTCACAGATGAAGAGATAACTTGAGCCAAAATGTTGTTCAACAATGAGAATCCCATGAACTGAACATGTAAGTAATAAGGAAGTTTCAATGAAAAGGAAAAAAGTCGTGTTATCATTCTTGGTTAGTTATGTTATTGCTATGAGTAAACAATCAAATACTTTAAAGAAAACATTCAGACATACATGTCTACTAACATTAGTCTGATACAAGGCAACAAGTGTGGAGCACTCATTGACAACTGAGTGCTTACTAATGGCTTGTGCACTAACATTTGCATCATACACAAATCTTTACTGTCATTTATTCAGTTTATGAATCACATTTATAATATAGATAAAATGTTAGGAAGAGAAAAGCATTAAGTTTTTCTTTAAATAAAATTTTATTTTTAATTTTCTAAATGTTCAACAAAATAATATTTTCACTAAATTCCAAACTGATAAAATTTGCTTATTTTTCCAGTCTAAGAGAATCTTTACCCAATTACAAGAGATATGTTAAGTCTTATTGTCTATAATTTGAAAAAGGATGTTTATCATCCTAAAATTTCTTCAGACAATTGAACACATTCTTTTTTGTGATCACAATGTATCAGCTAATTCATTTTAATGCCTTCTTTAGATATATTATATAAAAGTAAAATGTGGGAAGAGAAAACAACCATCCACTTAAAGTCAAATTCAAAGAATATATAAGAAAGACATAGAAAAAGGAAAGGTTAAAAAATCTGTTCCAGATGATAAATAGGAAGCACTGCTGGAGAGTGAGTAATTTGAAAGAAGCTGCAGATGTCATAGTAATTTGCTTTACTCAACTGGGAATGAACTGGAGATCCCTTTCTTACCACTGTCTATAAAATGTCTATCAAGTGCATTGCACTGGTCATTGTAAATGGTATTAATTGTGTGGTTTGTGCTGCAAGGAATGAATAGAGTTTACTGGCATAAAATTCCATTTTTTTTGTCTGCCATTTTTTTGGGGACAAAAGATGCTTTAAAGTAGATCAGCCAAGAAGTTGTGACAACAAAATCAGAAGCACAAGGAATGAGTTCAAATGTCTAAACAAATCTTGAAGAATACATTAAATGAAGATTAATAATAACTTGACTCAGATAGATAGATAGATAGATAGATAGATAGATAGATGTGAATGGAAATAGTCTAAATGTTTTTTCCAGTATAAGAGAAATTTTACATATTTACAAGCAATATTTTGTCATATTTTCATAATATAGAAAAGTACTTTACATTTTCTTCAAAGAATTTTTTATTACCAATCTTATATTTATCTTCAATTTCATTGTTATTACCATTACAAATACAATATTTCAGCTGAATACTTTCAGATAGAACTGAAAATATATTTTCATAAGTCTCATCATCAATGATTTTACAATATATTCATTTCTTTATATCTAAACTTTTATAAATTTCTATTCAGTAACTCTTTCTTATGTCACTGCCTGCAATTAAACTATTTCTATAAAGGATTCAATCATACGCTTTTTTTTATATGATATTTTATTTAATAAGTACCAAAGGTAGCTGACACTTTTGGTTAATTTTAAAATGGCACTATTTTATAGCCTACCTTTTCCTGCCATTTGACTTCCCTTCCACCAACCCTACCCTGAAATAATCAAAAAAGAACCGGATTCTTCAAAATGAAGGTTTGTGCCAAATTAATTTTCAGGACATCTGGTCGACCACCAACATTTCATAGAAGTTCTTCAAACTTTATTTGCTTTTTAACAACATTTTTTCTTCTTCTAAATCTCGTTGATTTAAGAAATGAGAACATTGAAAATAATCAAAATTGGATTTCTATCCACAAGATATTTCCAGTCTGAAATATTTCATCATATCAGGTTTAAAAACAATCGCATAAGACTATCTTTAAGCTTTCTATATTTTTTTATGAAAATAACATCTGAGATTTAATACAAAAATCTGGATTCATTTTGGAAAGATGAAGTTGATAAAATATATTCAACAGTCAGATTTAAACTCTGATAGTCATGGTGACAGATGTTAACAACAGTTTTTACATGGGATCAAATGAAAGCAAAGCACATGATCAGGTCATAAAATTGATATATACATATGATTATTTTGCTCTAACCATGAAAAAGTATAAAAAAGCAATCAGTTAGCCAGAATAACATCAGCAGACTTATCAGTAGAAAAAGGTAAAATGTAGGGATCAAAAATTCTTGCTCTTCTGTGCAGTCAGAATTGGTCAGAGGAAATGAGTTCCTTGTTTGAATGATAAAAGAATTTCATCTTTTGTTCAATCATCTCATTCTCTCTCCTTAAACAATATTTCAAATAAAGCAAGAATTCTCAACCAAAATTGAAGTTCAAGTTGCATTTTGAAATCCCTACCACAGAACAAAGTTGACTGACTTACAAAATAATGAAGAAGTATATCATTACAGTTGATGCAGTGACCTTTGCTCTCAAATGTAGGTCTTGACCAAATTATATTTCCTGAACCACATATCTCTATTTGACATTTGATGTGTGCCTTGTAGAAATGTCTTGGCACCTTTTCTCATCATAAATTAGAAAAGTAAATAAGAAAATTTTTTTTTTATAATTACCTATATTTAATATTTGTATTTATATTTGTTGGTTTTGTCAGTAAATTTTATTGAAAAAGAATCCAACATGGAAATTGGGACACAGAAATTTGGGCGTGAATATGTATGTGTTTGTGTATTTTTAAAAAATTTACTGTGTTTGTAGAGGAAGAAAGCTCTGTATATATATATTTAAATATGTTTGATATTTATTTGATATATATATATATATATATATATATATATATATATATATATATATATATATATGAGAAGAAATAATCAATTCATTTTTAATCTAACATTTTTATTAAATCAAACATTATTATAGTGGATACTCATATTTAAAACAGAAGCCCCATTTTTACTTATTAAGCAGTGAGTATTACATCTATCATGTTGTCTATTCGAGCAATCTTAGTAGAGAAAATTCAAGGGAAATTAGAACCTTGCTTTCTCTGATGTCCTTTGTGGCTGAACAGATTAAAGCAGAGCAGGAGGAAAAAGGAGTTTCTCCTATATAGGGGAATATGCAGGTTAGGCACTGGCCAGGGAATACATTTTCAAAGATTTCTCAAATGTGTAGACTGATAGACAAAATACACACTGTTTTATAAATAAAAATAAAGCAACTATTTAAAAATACAATGTATCCACTATAATGATGTTTAATATATATATATATATATATATATATATATATATATATATATATATATATATATATAGTAAAGGTAACAGATTCATTGGTATATAATCCAAGTGGATCCTAGTAAAATACAATATTAAAACCGATCCACAAAAAAGAGCTGAATGTATTTATTATTACAGAGCAAATAATTAATACACAATAAAATTGAAAATAACCGCATGTGTAGAATAAGCTTATTTCAGCATACAAAAATATAAGTTGTCTGTCTTACCAACCCCTATATAGACTGAGTTCATGTCAGAAATAGAAATTTAACTGTGAAAGCTAAGAAAAAAAAAAAAACCTCGAGAAAATAATACAGAATTTATCCATTTCAATGTTTCAGTCAGACAAAAGGCATGAGAATGTGGTCAGGGGTGGGCGGAAACTATTTGTCTTAAAGGAAAGACGTTTTATAAAATTAAACCAGGATATTAACCATATGACATGAAATTGGGGTTAATATGGGGTTATATGAAAAAATTTTAAAATAAGGGAGGAATAAAAAAAGAAAATAATTATTTAAAACAATTTAATATATATTATATATTATTATTTATATATTATATATGGAGGAATAAAAGAGTTTTAAAATATATATATATATATATATATATATATATATATATATATATATATATCTAATATTAGAGACTAGTAGAGAGCCAGGCGTTGCCTGGGGATGTAACAGTAAGAGATAGATCAAGTATCGACCATCATAAAGACTGAAAAATTAAATTGACAAAGATTATTGTTTAAGGTTGACGGACATGCATGTCTTAATTAGTTTTTTTTTTTTTTTTTTTTTTTTACGAATTGGTCAAACCCAAATTCAAACAAAAACATTGTTTACAATCGTTATGAGTCTATCGATTGGAGAATAGAATTTTATTATATACAATTGTCTTGTAAATGGAATTTTTAAAGCATTCTGAATGTAAATAAAGAAAAAAGTGTGCAAGACAATAAGAAATACTACCTGCCGAAAAAAAAAGTGGATGTTTGTTTTATCGGCTGAAAAATGTAAGAAATCCGATCCCATATATAAAAACACACACACACACACACACACACACACACACACACACACACACACACACACACACACACACACACACAACCTGGGTCTTTTAACCTAAGTCACTCCACGGAATCGCTAAAACATAGAGCATAGTCTGATGAAAAAAGACGCCAAAGTTTATGAAAACAAAATTTTATCGTCAAAATGCTTATGTTTTTATGAAAAGGATAGACTAAATTTTTTTTAATTATTTTTTAAAAATTTTCCATCTTTTTAGAATATTCTAAATTTTGATTTAAAAAACCTTGTTTCTCTTTGTCGCAACAAGGGGTAGTAAATAACATAGATAATTTTTAGCGCATTTTTTTGTTTTTACACATTAATTTGGAAAATCTTGCAAAAATAAAAATAATTGTCAGGTGTTAATGAAACTTTCAGAAACTATTCACAGATGATCGAAATTATTATAAATATATTTTTTTTTTAAAAGTCATGGCAGAAATATTTTTTTTATATTTATTAACACCCCCATAACTAATTTTATGAAAAAACTCTAGAAATTCGAGACCATCGGTTTTAGTGATTACAATAGTTAAAAGCACAAGGCTTTGAAGAATGCAAATCATGTTTTTTTTTTTTTTTTTTTTTTTTTTGGCCAACGTACCTGAAAATCAGCTGTGAATTGTAACATACAAAACTCAATAAAACAAATATATTATTTAGTTTCAAATGCTTTTATTTGTTTTAATTTGTTTTTTATGAATATGGACAATATTTTCTGAAAGCAAAAAAATTTTTCAATGAAAATTGAATTTTTAATACAATTATTTCTTGTTTCTTTAATTTTAAAAAGATTTTAAAAAATGTTTAAATTGAATTTTAAAAAATATTTTAACATTAGTTAAAAAGCAACACCAACCTTTCAAAATGTCCGTGTGAGATTGTCATTGTCTAGCGCTTTGAAAATTGTATAATTTGGACCAATCAGATTAGCCATGGTAATTAAGAAATGTAATTTTGTGTTTATAGTCGGACAGTAATTATCAAGTACGGAAGACCAACCAGAATACAATTTAGTTGCATTATTTGAGTTCAGCATTGTTCTCCGCTGTTAAGCCCTTTACTTTTTATGAAACACGTATGGAGAAGTTAATTTGAGTTTTCAATTTCAACTGAGAAGGGTACCTACAAGTAACAGTATCATCTTATGAAATTTAACTACTGCTAAACTTTAATTTATATGATCTTATTTTTATATTAATCTCAGTTATGACATTTTTTCATAAATGAAATATCAAAATTAATAATAAAATGAATGGAACACAAATAACACAGTAAAATGTAATAAATGTACATAAAATTATAGTATTTTATGTACACTTCTGATAAAATTTCATAAGAAAGGTACCTAAATTAATTAGATATCTTTTTCTTATGAAATTTAATCTCACTATTAACAGTCTTATTTTTTAATTTCTTTATATTTTCCATAAAGCATCGTAAACGTAAAAATGAAAGCTAAGTACAAAAAAAAAAAAATAAAAAAAAAATTAGAGCGCTGAAAGATTTCCTTAAAAGTAACAAGGTAAATAATTTGTTCATTTAAATAATTTCACTTCCTTCCATCCGTAGAAAAAGAATTCTCCTCCCGTAAGTTATCTAAACGTCATGAATGTGCCTTTCGTCAATCGTCAAGCGACGCGAAAGGTTATGACCTGCTTTTGTTTTATTTTCAAATTACATTTTTCGGCGCAGAAGCTAAGTTAAGCTTGGTTCAAAATATTTTAAATAAACAGTATAATATCTGTTTTTATTAAAATCAGTTTTGAAAAATGATAATTGACTTTTAAAAAGAATATCAAAGTAAGATTTTAATCTTTTTTATCAAATCGAAAAAAAAGATTGAAAATGATTATCTGCCCTTTTTTTACCAAAAAGACAATATTTTAACGAAAATTTCAGACGTGCTAGGAACGATTAAAAAATGTAAAAAATACCCCCAAAATACTTTGATCTTTCCTCTTTAATAATAATATGAACATTAGACGATAAAATTTTGTTTTTCGTCAAGTTCGGCTATGCTCTTTTTGTTTACATTTTCGTGGGTGAGTTCTCCCCTTTCATTCTCACGATGTGTCTTAATCGTGTTTTCAAATTGATTTTATTAAAAAAACAACTGTATTTTTTCCCATTTTCGGTCCCGTTAGAACCACCACAAGGTAATTTTATGTAGTCCTGTGAAGTTTTGTTGAAATCGGCTAAAAAATGTAGGAAATTCGATCCAACATATAAACGTTACAGACACACACACACACACAACCTGCGTTTTATAATAAGTAAGATACAGCTATATATATATGGGTATCTCCAAAGATTTTCTAACAAACAGGATGCATGATGAAAAAATGCACAAAACATGACAAAAACTAATAAAAACTATATATATATATATATATATATATATATATATATATATATTTAAAGATTTTGTTTTGATAAGTTTTAATGATTTATTTTCATAAAAGTAATGTGTTTGGTGCTACTGTGTAAACCCTACAAAATATCTTTTAGGTTACAAAAATTACTAATAAATACACAAAGCTCATCAGTACTGTAAACAGATAGTCATTTGTTGTAATTGGCCCACAAAAGTCGCTATCAAGATGGCAAAAATTCTAACATTTCAAAACAGCAAATGGCATGGAAGAAGAAATAGATGACATTTTCTTGACATTCACAGCACCATAATATACTCCATTCTTAAAAATGACCAAAATGGAACCAAAATGGAACCAATGATCTTTTATAAGAACAAATGAAAAGTATTAAAAAACTTAAAACCTCTTAAATGAAAAACTGCATCCCAAAAGTTTGTTATATCTATATAATGCACAAGCACAAACACATTTAGCTGTGTACACACAAACATACACGTGTAGATATATATTTGCATGTATATTTGTATATATGTTTATATGCATGCCATGGACACATGGCTGAGTAGTTAGAATGTTCGCATTCTGACCTTGAGACCCAGGTTCTAATCTCACCATGGTCGATTTATCAAACTGGGTGGGGGGGTCAATCTCAGCATGTGGCACCTTTAGAAAGAGTCGGAAAATCATACCATCGGCTGACCTAAGCCTTGTGAGTGAAATTGGGTAGATGGAACCCTTGGGTGTCATCGATAGCCATGCTACCACAAAGTCAAAAGGTATCATGGCTGAGGGCTTAAGCGTGCTGGCCTTGTTCAAATTGTTGATCACGTTAGATAACAAGCTCTTTCCCAGAAACTGTAACTAAGGTCTGCTCCTCATAGTTGCAGTATAGACCACAGTTTGGCTCTGTAGGCATTGAGCAAACACAACTGTGCCTGAGCAAACGTCTGCAATAGGGATTGGCTAGTTGCCCTCGTAGATGGGTATCCTCAAATATGAGTGGCCAGCTATACTTAAACATGCATGAATATGTGCACATACACAAGCACACATAACACACTTTTCTATGTATTCCTTGTGGCAATCATTGCAGGTTCTAGTGTAAATTCTTGTTTTAGGTTTTAGCTTATTATTTTGCGTTGCATTAATTAAGTCTCTTATTGTTCTAGAAGTAGTTGGAACACATTTTATGTTAGATTAGATAAATTCTATTCAATTGTTATTGTGAAAATACTGGTTGGTAGTGTAATGTATCTTGTTTCATTAAATTTGTTTGTATGATTCTTTTATATTTAAAAATAAGAATATTTTTAGTTTTGTGTAGAATATGAAATAATTACCGTATTAGAGGAGCTTAAAAGTATTTTCAATGTATTTCTCCTCTTCATGTAAACACTGAGGGCTGCAAATTCTAATTGCTCTTAAATAAAATCCGATAATTATTGCAGATTTTATTTTGTTGTTATGGTTTGAATAGAAATTTATGAGATCATTTTTATTAGTAGATTCACAATAGCCAATTAGCTTTAGGTCATTATCAGTATGTTTTAACATAAGATTTAGGCAATGTCATGTGTTTTTTGTTTTTGTTTTATAATTCAATTCTATCATATGTTTGACTTTGTTTCGTTTATCTACAAGGTCAGTTGATAATAGATAACGGCTCAGATTGAGGAATTGGAGAGCAGAGTTTGAATTCCCGTCAAATCCATTACATTCACTTATGTGTTAATACCCTTGGGAAAGGTATGAATCCTCTTCTTCTCCCCTCAGCTAAGGGTAAATAGCAGGACAGACCGGGTTCTATAACTTTGAATGACAACTGGTCTACCGCAGAAAGAAATGGCAACCTACTGCAGGAAAAAAATCTGCCTCGTCAGTCATGTATCAAAAGATACATGATCGCCTAAGAGTGTATCATGCATGGCACATAACTGGCTGATGTTTTTTTGTTTGATATATGAATAGGGCATCATTAATATATTGGCAATATGTTGATTGGTTAAGCAAAATACTTTGGAAAGGACAACATTTAAGGAACACTTCTTCTTCTATGTGCTGTGTTTCTTTCGATCATGGCTCTCCACTTTCTCCTATCCCTTGTAGCACTCGATAAGTTTTGTCTTTTTGCTACATTTCCCAGAAAAATTCCTATCTGTAATCTAAATTTTTGTTTCTAAAAATGATTGTTAAACGTGAAATAACATTGGTTTATTGCTGATTTTTACGACCTTGTCCTCAACTTTCAAGATTATGTCACATCAACGTTTTGTAAAGATTTAATTTATTCATACTTACTCTGTACAAACATGGGTTCTTTGAGGATAATCCATCCATAGCCGTATACAGTGTCTCCCGCATAATAAGTTGCTGTCGGATTATTAAAGATAATCTGAAACTTCTCCAGTCGCTCCATTACAACTCAAGTTACCCTGAGGAAAGAGAAGAGAAGTCAAAATAATTTGGGAAAAATATTTTCTTTTTAAATTGTCATAATAAAAGATGAAATTTGAAAAGTAATATGATCATATTACTTCAAGAAAAGGGACAAAGTTCTTTGTAAATTTCTGCTGCAAAAAGAAGCAAAGAATTCAAATAATGTTATAAATAAAAATAATAAATTAACTCCAAAATAGACTGATTGGGTAGGAACAATAGATACCCTATGAATTGTGCAAATGACTCATATGCAGGCACATCAGAAGACATACAAGAAGACATGAAATTAAAATTGATCAACAAATTTCAGCCTTAAGATCAAATTTATTTATCATAAACATTAAAAGTAAGAATTATCAATTAGCAAATATTTCTGTTTAAGCATCACCCAGAATTAAATCAAAAAGTAAAAAATTGCAAAAATATCTGAAACCTGGTGGAGAACTGAAAAAAATGCCGAACATGAAGTAGCAGTTGTACCCATCATTACTAGCATGCTTGGAAAAGCCCTTGAAGTGCTTTGTAAAATGATCGGATGAATTAGAAGCCAGAGAAAGAGTTCAAACTATCCAGGTGATGGCATTGCTAACATCTAAAAGAATGTTAAGGACAGTGCAATGGTATTGGAGAAACTTGCTGTCACTTGATCTCCTCCTAATATTAAAAGTCAAGGAATACAAATAATAATAATAATAACAATAATAATGATAATAATAATAATAATAATAATAATAATAATATTAATAACAGACAAGTTATGGTTCTGATGGCTTCTGCTCCTAACTGATTGGTGCTGTTAACATGTACATGTTTTGTTTTCGTGAATTAAGATGTGCTACAATAAATAACTTATTCAATACCACAGATTTGCTTGTCAACAAATGACGTCTGACCAATAATAAAAGAAGGCAGTAAATACAAACAATTTAATTTAGTAGATTCCCCTAAAACAGGCTGTGATGCAAAAAGAAAGCCAAGGATAAAGCCCTTGCAGATGTCCAAACCTCTGAGAAGAAGAACGTGCAAAATAAACCCAATGGGATAAAAGCATTCTGGTTGGATGTTGAAAGAGTTGGATTTTTTTTAGTCTGAAAAATGATGCAGCCAAGGTTATTTGGAAGTTACATCTAAATACATGTTCAACCAGAGGCCACCTTTGCAGACTTCATTAGCTAACCTGAAGGCATTTTGTAAAACCAGACACCATCTGCAAGCGGATTGTAACTTATTTGAAAAACTATCTGCTTTTGAATGAAAATGTTGACAAGAATAATACAATATTGGAATTATAAAAATGTAAAACATTTGGCCCCAGCTTGGTATGTTTTTTTATCAAACTGGGTGTCATGATGGATACATTCATCGGAGATAAAAAAAAAAAAAAAAAAAAAAAAAAAAAATGAAATGTGGCATAACCCTAGCAACACTTTGTTGGCATGCTGCTCTCTCTCACTCAACAATAACAACATCATCATCCTCATCATGTCTTAAAAAAAAAAGAAAAAAAAACTTGACTAAAAATGTAGAAGCAAAGAATTGTCCAACATATGCAAAAAAAAATTCCAAGAGAATGGAAAGAAAATTTACCAAAACTGAAATAAAATATAAAATCAAATATTATAGATGCAGAAAATGCTGTATGAAGAATTTAAAAACTGAAATAAAATATAAAATCAAATATTATAGATGCTGAAGAAAAAAGAATGGAATATCAAAGACAAAACTTCCCATAAAATTAGCTACAGTTGGAACCATGTCAAACACACCGGAATTAGAAATGTATAAATTGCAAATCCAAAGTAAGTTTGAAACTGCAAAAGCTACAGCATTGCTAGGGTCTTTGAGTGTACTGAGGAAGGTTCTGAAGATTTGAAGAAACAGGCTATCACTCCTTATTTGGTGATGACACTCAGACCTCTGATGGAAATATGAACAATAATTATGAGGAGTGCAAATGGTGGACACAATCTTAACATCATAATGCATGCAGATATCAATGTATGGATGGTAGATGCAGAAAACTGCAGAAAGTCTGAGACAATTCTATAAAGAAATGTGGGAAGAAAGGACTAACCATTAACTATAAGAAAACAGAATGCAAGATAATACCTACAGATTGAAGATGCCAAAATCAGGCAAGCATAGAAATTCACTGTTTTTGGTTTTGGTTTGGTTTGGTTTGTTTTACGGCATATCAGCCTCAATGGGTTATTTAATGCCAACAAAATTTTTATTGCTGGTGATATTTTGTTTTGTCAAAAATCTATTTCTGGTAATATTTTTTCCTTCAAAAATGTATTGTTGGTAATAATTTTTTTCAAAAACGTATTGCTGGTAATATTTTTTTCTTCAAAAATTTATTGCTGATAATAATTTTTTTACAAAGTGTTTCTGGTATTAAAACCTATTATTACACATTCATAGTGTTTTTACACCAATTTCGGGATTAACTATTTGCCCATAGCTGGGGCCCTGACAGGTACTACCACTCCTGGACAGAGCAGACCTGGGAACACCAGCAATTAAGAGGTGGTTCCACGCTCCTCAAAACCTCTTAATTAGGACGTAGATGTAGTTTATTGTCATACCCATGACAGACTGCTTTTGGGAAATGTTTAACAAATAACAGAAAATATGACACCAGAATCAGAACAGCGAAAGATGCCTTCCAGAAGCTAAATAAAGTATTAAGAGACCAGAAAATTTCATTATAAACAAAAGAATGTTGAACTGCTATGTAATACTAATTCTTCTATAAAGTACTGAATACTGAACAATTTCCTCATGGATGGAGACTTGCGGTAAGAAAGATGTGGTTCCACAGAAAGATGCTGAGAATACCATTG